AGGCCCAGGCCTTGACCTCCCCCAACGCGAAGCGGCCTGTGCAGGTGCACGTCGTTGCACGCGCGCCCGCCCCTTGCTTGCACTATTCGCGGACTTCCCGCCGACCGAAACCGAAACGGCGCGGGGGTTTTGGCGCACGCGAAAAGAGTACGGGGTAGAAAACAACGCAGCACTGACAAAACTGACCTTTTTTTGGAACCAAGGAAATTTTCTTGCTATGAGTGAATTGACCTGAGTTGAAACAATGAATTGTATTTTTCAATTCAATGCACATGTTGCAAGTATCTTGGTTCAAGAAGCGACATTTTGGAGTGTTTTTTGTTTTTGATTTGGCCAAAATGTGGGGTCCCGGCTGAAAAACAACAACATAAAATGAGTCTAACCATTCACAGCTACGAGACTTTTTACTGGTCAGCCGCCTGAGAACGTAGTAGTACACGATGGGTACATTTTTCACCTGCGCGCGCCACTCTGCTCCCGCCAGTGCGAAGAGCCTTGCCACCCTCAGTCCAAGGTCTCGCCGCCCCAAATATAGACGCTCTAGATCTGGAAGGCGCCCTGTGGCCCAGCGGCCCTGCGGCGCCCTGCCTCTCGCCCCGGCTGCTGCCTGGAACCTGAGCCGCCCCGCCGCGCACCGCCCGTCCCGCCGCCCACCGGCCGAGCCACCAGTGTGGTGGTGCCAGCACCACGGCCAATGCCGGAGCAATACCGAGATTCAGGAGTCCGCGGTCGAATCCTGGCCTTGAGGGTCATTTGCTGACCGACGACGTGGCCCCGACCCGAACCGCTACCCCACGCCACGGCAGTGCCACGCCACTGCCACGGCGAGGCGCGCCAAGGGCTGCAATGGAAGCGAGGCCAGCACGCACAGGACTGGCGGACTGATTGGCCGTCCGCTTCGCGGAGCTCGAAAACCTGTGCACGACTCTGAAAACACTCGAACAGTTTGAAAATCGTGTTTCCAAATCCCACTGTGAAAACAAAAACTAGGGGGTACGTCAATGGGTCAATTTACCACGTGTGGAACGGTGGATAAATTTGCACACAGGGTCTTTTTCCTGTCCACCCTCATTCTTAAAAAAGTGCACACAGCGTTTGGTCCTGACGCGAACAAGCGCGGTAAACCTACCACTAATTTTTTTTCACAGTGCAGGGCGGTTGGGGGCAGAACGCGGGGGTGTGCTAGTATTTGAATCCGGCCAAACAGGTGGTTCTCTGTATGCGAGGCAGAACACTCTCTGCCCCCCCTCCCCTCCCTTCCCCCTCGCAGTGCAGACGGCTCGGCGTGGCGATAGCAGTGTGGCGGTGTGGCGGTGCACTGTTCCACGGTGTTCGCCATCGAAAGCGAGATCGGGGCGCAAAGGTCTGGCCGCGATAAGCGCACAGAGTCGCGCTGACATTGATCTAACCTTGCTCCATATTTGCCCAGCAGACTGATTCCGAGAGTCCTTTTCGTCGCTCTGTCTCTCTCGCGCCTGGACGGGGAGCGCCATGCGTGCGAGAGAGACAGAGCGACGAACACGACTCTCGGAATCAGTCTGCTGTCGTCAGTCGCAAACTGCAGGCGTGGCGCGGCACCTGCAGCGCGCTTTTCGTCGCTCTCTCTCTCTCTCTCTCTGTCTCTCTCTCTCTGTCTCTCTCTGTCTCTCTCTCTCTCTCTCTCTCTCTCTGTCTCTCTCCCTCTCTCTCTCTCTCTCTCTCTCTGTCTCTCTGTCTCTCTCTCTCTCTGTCTCTCTCCCTCTCTCTCTCTCTCTCTCTCTCTCTCTCTCTCTCTCTCTCTCTCTCTCTCTCTCTCTCTCTCTCTCTCTCTCTCTCTCTCTCTCTCGCACTCCCAGGGCATCCCGCACAGGTGCGAGAGAGACAGAGCGACGAAAGGGCCGCCGTTCGGAAGCAGCTTGTTGCAGTGCCGCGACGCCACACACAATGTTGCACCGCGGTCGGTGCAAACCAATCACCAATCAGGCGTTCGAGTGCCGCCGATGAGGATGTGCTTGAAGGAGGGGAGGGGAGGGAAGGAGGAGAGGGGAAAGAGGGGAGGGGAAGGGAATCACGTGACGGCTGCCTCATACCTAGCTTTGTCTGATACCCACTGCGCTCGCTGCACACGCGGGATGCGACTGTCCTATGCCATTGTTTTTGTTGGATGGATTTCTTCATTACTAGTTTTCGCTGCGAATTATCGTGAGAGAGAGAGAGAGAGAGAGAGAGAGAGAGAGAGAGAGAGAGAGAGAGAGGGGGGGGGGAGGGGAGGGGAGGCTCGATTCCTCATGATTCCATAACAAGTGCAGTAGCTGCTGACTTCTGTGCAGTGCTGGTAGCGAGATGCTAGCCAGTGAAAGGCCACGCTACTTCCTGCACGGTAAAAACGGAACCTGGTTTTCCCAGGAACTCCCTGGAAATCGCATATGTCGAGGGGGTATGCGCTCCCTGAACCTGTGTACCGACTATTACGCTATTACGCTCTATTACGCCACAAATTAATCGGAATTTAGCTAAAAACGGCCTAAAACACACCAAAATTGATAAAATTTTGACAATTTCGGCTATTACGCGACTATTACGCGAATTATTACGCGTGCTATTACAGATAGAGTGAACCGACTATTACGCGAGTGCATACCCCCTCGGCATATGTCTCTACCATAGGCTTCCTGGGAAAACCAGGTACCGTTTTCACCGTGTGTACTTCCGATGCCAGTGTGGGTGACAGCGGAAGTGCAGCAGATGCGGCGCGGCCATGCGATGTGGCGGTGGCAGTGTAGTGCCGTGGGGGTGCACCGCCGTGGCGTACACTATAAACCCACTTTGTTTACATCGCCAACATCGCCGTGACATAAGAGCGGGGGGGATTCGGCCGGCAAAACCAGTAAAAGTGTACACACGAGGTGGTGTACAACACCGCCTGCCTGCCGGCCGGCCCGCCGCGCGGCCTTGGGCCCTGCTGCTGCTGCTGCAGGTCCTCTGTCTCTCTCGCACCCCGACGGGCCGCCCCTAGAGTGCGAGAGGGACAGAGCGACGGCGGTTCGGGTTGGGGATCGGACGGGATAAGATAGGCCGCCTTGCAACGCGATGCACCTTCTTGCACACGGCCCGCGGATGCACCGGCTTAATTCGAGTGAGTGCTTTGCAGCTATTTCGAGGGGAGAGGGAGAGAGAAAGAAAGAGAAAGAGGAGGAATGGAGGAGAAGGAGAATCAGGCGTGAAGGAAAACTACAGCCGATAGAGAGGCTCTTTCCGCAAACCCATACGACGTGCTTTGTTTTGACTTTGTCCTGCTGGGTGCGGTTTACGAGTAGTTTCCAATCCGCACAAGTTTCCTCTGTCTTTGATTACGAACAGAACCGAAGGGAGGGGGAAGGGGAGGGGAGCCTCGCCCCGTCCGTCCCGACGGTGTGTACAGAATTTGAAGCACTCATTTAGAAAGTTCGAGAAGGGCGAGGTAGTTTCGATCTGCATTTTGAAGTAGCGGACCGTTGGAAATTCAGAATACCATCGTCGTTACGTAATAAATTGAAGTGAACGCGATGGCCGCCACGGCTCTCGGGGTGCCGCCCCTGCCGCCCTGCCGCCCCCCTCGGCCGACCTGATTGGCGCTTGACGCCAAGGCCGAGGCCCACGGCCCCACCCCCGCTCTCCACTCTCCGCCCCCCGCCCCCGCTGGCCCGTTTCCGCTCTCCGCCCTCCCAGCCCTCCAACCCCCTCCCCACCCCACCCCCGAAGTACGGGGCGCGGACTCCCCCAACAACAGCGCACCGTTCAGCTTACAGCGTAGTAGCCTACAGCCCCCATGTTCCTGCGTTTGCAGTGGCGGATCCAGAGACGACTTAAGATCGGTCAAAGCAGTACTTTTTGCCTACCCACCACAGGGGCAAAGTGTTGCTTTTTGCCTTCCTTTCAGGTGGCTCATAGGGGTCAGGGAGGGGCAATTGTTCTTTTGCCCCCCCCCCCCTCTGGATCCACACTTGTGCGTTTGCTTGTCGGACCAAATTTTCGCACTCATGGTGGGGGAGAGAGAGAGAGAGGGGGAGGGAGGGGAGAGAGGGAGAGAGAGGGAGAGAGAGGGAGAGAGAGGGAGAGAGAGGGAGAGAGAGGGAGAGAGAGAAGAGAGAGAGAGAAGAGAGAGAGACGCGGGGCGTCTGAAAGGTCATCGGTCGCAACCGGCGAACTCCTCAATTATTAGCCCGCTGGCGCTGCTCGCTCGATGCCCCCCGCGGGGGCTCTGCTCTGCTGACGAGCGAGAAAAACGGGGATCGAAAACTGAGAGCGAAAAAGAACGCAACGTCAAACGAACCGCTTGGCGTGCACGGCATGCGTGGCCCGATCTCGTGGCACCTTGTCCGCTCTGGCCGGGATAACACGTCCCTGGACAGCGGCCACCTGTTCTATCGCGCTGCGATCTGGCGGCGCGACCTCCAACCAGCGCAGCATGCAGCCATTCGGCGCATCCATTTTGCACGGCGTGTGACGCCGGTCGCGGGGGCCTGATGACTGACTAGGAAAATGGAAAACTTTTTTTTTGTCGTGAATGTGCGCTTGAACGCGACACACAGTGGGCCAGAAGCCGGTGGAGGCGGCCAAAACTCTAGACGCGTTTTGAGCTCCAGAGTCGCTAAATGGGACTCGAACCGAACGTGTGACACCACCAATGGATTCCTCGTTCGGAGAGCTATCCATTGGTGGGGTCACACGTTCGGTTCGAGTCCCATTTAGCGACTCTGGAGCTCAAAACGCGTCTAGAGTTTTGGCCGCCTCCACCGGTCTTCTGGCCCACTGTGCGCTATGCGCTTGCGCGCCGCGGCCCTGGCGGGTGTCACGCTGCGCTACGGTGCGCTAGTGGGGAAGGTCGTGCGTCTGATAACATCGCTGCAGACCGCCTCGGCTGTCTCTCTCGCACCGCCGCGGGACGCGCCGTGAGTGCGAGAGAGACGGGGCGACACAGACTGCCGTTCGGAGCGGGCCCGCGGCGCGGCGTGGCGCCCCCACTGCCAGGATGCACTCAGACTTGGACTTTCAGTTTGGCGGGCCGACTCATAGACTACGACTCGCGGTTCTAGCCGGTCTAGCCCGCAACACACAACTCTCGACCTACCGCATCCGACTGCACCGCCGCCGCGCACGCTCCACGCTCGGGCCGCGAGTTCGATACTCGATCGATCTGCTCCTTCTTTTTTCCTGCCGGTGTTTCGTCCGATGCGAACACCCAGCCATGCTCGCTCTGGGCAGCCAGCCGCGGCCCTGGTGCAGCGGCTCTGATGCGCGCCCCTGCAGGGCGCAGGCAAGGCCGCAGGCCCGCTGGCCGCGCGTCCGGGACACCCTCCAGGACGCCGTCGAGTGCGCCGTCGAGGTGGGCGGAGGAGACCGGCCGGCTGTCTCTCTCGCACCCATAGGGACGCCCCGTCAGTGCGAGAGAGAGAGCGACGAAAACGACTCTCGGAATCAGTCTGCAGTGCCTTGAACCTTGACCTTGCCTGTTCCAGGACACTGCCATGGACGAGGGCGGGGGCCACGGGGGCGGACGGCCCAGCAGCCCCGAGTGGGACCCGGCGCTGCTCCGCGAGGAGGACTTCGAGGACCAGGCCGTGTACCAGGTGCCCGACCAGCCCTGCGAAGGCCTGCAGCCCCGCGCACAAGCCTCGCTGCCCCGGAACCTCGTGCTCAAGCCCTCGCAAGCCCTCAGTGACGTGAGTACCTTTTGCCGGCTGCTGGCCGTAATTTATCAATAATCTGATGGCGCAGCCTCTCGCTAAAAAACATTTATATTTATTTGTCGATTTGACTTAACTTTTTTACGGTGGCTGTTCTCCAGAGTCTGTATTGTTCCCTCCGCGTTGCAGGTGCTTGGCGTGTGGAGCACGGGCTACATTCCCAGAGGCACCCGATTCGGGCCTCTCGTAGGTGACATTTATGCCAAAGATGCCGTCCCCGCGACGGCGAACAGAAAGTACTTTTGGAGGGTAAGTGTCTTCAAGCCTCTCTTCAAGTAACTTTGTGCGAAACAGAGTTTTAATTTGCAACGGTGGTGGCTAAGCGAAACTAAGATGACGTCACAGGCAAACTGGCGCCTAGCGATGCGCTGTTGGAGTAGGATAGGCCCCCGTGCAGCACCCCCTACAAAATAACCCATTACCTTTAGTTTAGGCCTCAGAAATGGGTACCCTCTTCCCCTCCAGTGTCGATCAGGTGACTGGTTTGGTGCCTCTTCTAAACCTACTTTCTGTTTTCTTCTCTTTATTTCATGTCGTCTTGTAAAACAACCACAATCACAGGTGCAATTGAAAGAAGAGCGGAAGACGGGGCGAATTCGCAAGGTACGGACACGAAACTCGCTTTCCCATGTTCATTTCTGTCCGCAAGCCAGAAAACTCCTTCCCCCTCGCCACCTTGGTCGACCTTGGTCCTGGGCTGGAACGGCTGGGACGGTGCATGTTAGCAGACAGGAACGGAAGCTTGGTCCTACTAGCGCCCAGAGCGGCACGAACCTCTTCTCTCTTCTCGCACGTCTCTGGGGTTTCAAAACCCACCCCTGTTTCCGCTTTTTTTGAAAATTCCGGAGAAAGAATTTTTTTTCTTTTTTGACTGCTACTCCACGCGAACGGACTCCAGTCGGAATGTGTGCTTCCTGCCTGCACTCTTTGTCAAAAGTTAAAGGAAAACGGCAAAGTAGGCCACCAACTCTACTGCGACACGAAAACTCAACTAAGCTTTCGAGCTGCAACGACCGTGAGGGCATGCGGTGGGGGCCGGCTACTCAGTGCTTATCTAGCTGATGAACTGAATCCTTTTTCTTTTGTTCCCTCCCTGCTTTTTAACGCTTTTGTTCTAACAACTTTGCCACTGTGGCGGGAAACCTTGAATATATATGTATAAAAAATACTGACAAACTTGGAACAAACTCCTTACTTCTCCCCTTTCTGAATAACAAACTGAATTGATATTATATTTTAGGTGAACAATGTTCCACACTTCTCGACGTAATTTCAAATCTCAATGCAAGAGTTTTTCAGTGTTCGTAGAAAAGAAACTATCCTCTGTCCAGTGACTTGGGGGACCATTTTTACAAACACTTGTTTGAAGTTCTTTTTCTGATTGTGTTTTGTTTTTCGTGTCGATGAAGTGTCCTATGAAGTGTCCAATTTTTGCATAGGCAGTTTCACTGTAAATACCCACCAATTTCTTAGCCTTCGGAACTATGGTGCTTCACCGACTGTCCATCTTTGCATGACCACGCTCGCCAGGATCTAGGGCCAAGCATTTTTGGGTCGTGACAACTTTGTAATTGGGGATGCTTTTTCTCTTTTTACTTGTAGATTTACAAGGAGGACGAGCTGTTCTACTACATTGACGGGTATGACGTCAACAAGTCCAATTGGATGCGATTCGTCAACCCCGCCTACTCCTCCGTCTCACAGAACCTGATAGCCTGCCAGTACAAGGTACAATAATTTTTAATTTTTAGTCAAATTTTGCGGTATTTTTTTTATAATTTTTTAATTTTTAGGGTGCAATCTTATTAAGAAAATTAGAAAAATATGACAGGACTTGACATTCTCGGATTATAACAAAATTTGGTGGGCATGTTGGGTCCCGAGGTGGGAGTTTAAAGCCAAATTTCGTCAGAATCCGACGATGCCAGGTCCTGACTTTTTAAAATAAAGCTGCTCTATCTATTTTTTTCTGTGGGATTTTCCAAAATATTACGGTTTTCCCTCACCTTTGCTATTTTCTCCCCCCGCAGATGAACATCTACTTCTACACCATCCGGCCGATCCTGCCGAACCAGGAGCTGCTGGTGTGGTACTGCCGCGAGTTCGCGGAGCGGCTCAACTACCCGCTGACGGGGGAGCTGATGCTGCAGCGGATACGCGAACAGGTGCAGCAGTCTGCACCGACGCCGACGGCCACGCCGACGCCGGCCCCCGCCCCCACCAGCGTCATCAGCCAGCCCGTGTCCGGGCCGACGGAGGTCGGGGCCGTGACCACGACGACGCACTCGCCGCCCGCGGCCAGCACGGCCAGCCCGCAGCCAGCCTCGAGCTCGTCGCCGGCCGCCGGCGAGGCCTCGCCGCACAAGGACAGCCAGGGCGGCGGCTGCGGCGGCTACGACGCGGCGGGCGCGCGCGAAGGGTCAGTGCGGTCCGACGAGGGCTACCACTCCAACGGCTGCCACGACGAGGTGCTGACGCCGCCGGAGGACTCGAGCGACTCGGACTCGGAGGGCAACTACGTGCTGGACTTCAGCAAGAAGCACGAGCGCCAGGAGCGGCACAAGCAACCCTCCGCCATCCGGATGGGCCCCGAGGCCGCGCAGCGGGGCGCCAACGAGTTCCGGAAGGTGAAGATCAAGATGACGCGCGCCTACCACTACAAGACGGCGGGCCGCGAGGGCGAGCCCGACGCGCCGGAGTGTCCGCGCAACTCGGCGGCCGCGGCGTCGCCCGCACACTCGCACTCCCCGGCGCACTCGCTGTCGCCCGCGCACTCGCACTCGCCAGTGCACTCCCACTCGCCAGTGCACTCCCACTCGCCGTCGCCGTCGCCCCTCGTGACGGCGCCCGCCAGCCCGGACGGCCCCGACGGCCGGGGGTCGCCGATGATGGTCATCATGGAGCACCCCGCGCGGCCGGAGTCCCCCGAGCGGCCGCCCTCCCCCGCCTCGTCCACGACGCCGTGCAAGCCGCACTACGAGGACCTGCCGCGGACGTCCATCCTGGAGAACATCCTGATGCGGAACCGCGACCGCGAGGCGGCGTCCGGCGACCAGAACAACAACAAGGAGGCGCCGAGGCACGCCACGCCGCCGCCCGCGTCGTCCTCGCCCACCGAGATGGCCTACTCGTACAAGAAGTCGCACCGGTACGGCGCCGTGCCCTGCAGCCCGGACTCGTCGTCGCACGCCGCGCCGCTGCCGCCCCTGGTGCCGCTGTCGCTGCCGCCGCACGTGCCGCTCTCGCACGTGCACGCCCTGCACGCGCTCAGGAGGTCGCCGCACACGCCGCCCATGTCGCCGCCCTGCCCCGCCGGGCCGCCCTACGCCGACATGGGGTACCCGTCGCAGGGCGCGCACAGCCCCAGCCCGCCGTCGGCGCACAGCGCGCACAGCGCGCACAGCCCGTCGCAGGGGCCGTACTCGCCCCCGCCGCCCTTCCACTACATGTACCCCGCGCCCCACAGCGCGGCGCACCCCCCGCAGCAGCTCGTCAGCCTGCGGCCGCCCTCGCCCACCGGCTCCCTGTCCCCCGACGACGGCTCCTGCACCAGGTAAGCATCAATTTATTTTTGTTGATTTATTTCTTGGAACGGTCCCCCAGGCTCGTGAAACAGGGCGGGGGTAACAAATGTTTTGGGAGTCTGTATTCTGTGTCGTTAGCAGTGGAAGCTAAGAGCATCTCTCATGGGTTCACTTGGTTTTAGAATTGAATTTCTGTGTTGACATAAGTAAGTTATAACGCGAGTCTCCACTGTCGTTATCGACGTAGTTCCCCGATGAAAGACCCTTTCACTCGTCGCCATGTGAGGAACAAAAGCAATCAAAAAGCCAGGAACCGCCAGCGTGCAACTGTCAAAAGCTGAACCCTGATTGGCCGCAGCAGCCGCAAGGTGGTGCCCTGCTGGTTCCTCCCTTCTGTTTACTTTTGTCCCTCACGTGGCCACAAGGGAAAGGGTCTGATGCCGCGAACGTCATTTCGTTACGGCCCCTGGGCCGAATTCCGAGACTCCAGTGGAGCCGGCTTCCCTGCGTTTCCCCCGGGTTTCCCCGGGTCTCCCCCTAAATCCTCTCAACTTACAAGACAACCTCTGTCTTGCAGGTCGGGATCGCCACTCAGTCCCAATAGCCACAACTCCCGCGGTTACAGATCGCTGCCGTACCCGCTGAAGAAGAAGGACGGTAAGATGCACTACGAATGCAACGTGTGCTTCAAGACGTTCGGCCAGCTGTCCAACCTCAAGGTGCACCTGCGCACCCACTCGGGCGAGCGACCATTCCAGTGCAACGTGTGCACCAAGAGCTTCACGCAGCTGGCGCACCTGCAGAAGCACCACCTGGTCCACACAGGTGAGTATCACAGTGTGGTTCCTCCCACCCGCTGCCACTAACCCGCCCCGCAGTGGGCCAGAGGACCGGTGGAAGCGATCAAAATCCCGAACGCGTTTTGAGTTCTAGAGTCGCTAAATGGGACTCGAACCGAACGTGCGGCACCAACGTGTGCTCTCCGGAGAGCAATCCATTGGTGGGTTCACACGTTCGGTTCGAGTCATGTTTAGCGACTCTGGAGCTCAAAACGCGTCTAGAGTTTTGGCCGCCGGCGCTGAGCTTCTGGCCAACTGTGCGCCCTCACCTCCAATGTCTAATTTGTGAACTTTTTTCTTCGATCCCAGGCGAGAAGCCCCATCAGTGTGATATCTGCAACAAACGGTTTAGCTCGACGTCGAACCTCAAAACCCACCTGAGGTTACACTCGGGCCAAAAGCCTTACGCCTGTGATCTGTGCCCCGCCAAGTTCACCCAGTTTGTCCACCTCAAGCTGCACAAGAGGCTGCACACCAACGAGCGCCCCTACACGTGCCAGGGCTGCAACAAGAAGTACATCAGCGCGTCCGGGTTACGGTAAGACTGCCTCATTTACCGACTCGATTTGCGTTCCTGTACACTAGACTTGTATTCAATCGATTTGTTTTTGGTGCCGCAGGACGCACTGGAAGACGACAAGCTGCCGCCCCCACAACATGGAGGAGGAGCTGGCCCTAGCGGCCGGGTCGCCGCCCGGCTACTACGAGTACGCCGGCTCGGACGCCAGTGTTGGTAAGCACGCCCAGCCTCCCACAGTGTCGCATCCTGGTTGCCTTTCTGGTGCCGTTTCCTCAACCCACTTTCCTCTATTTGCAGGGAGCATTGAAAAGGACCCCATGGACGACTCGAGAGACTCGTTCGAGGCCCACCACATCCCCCTGCAGCCTCTGCCGCCGCAACCGTCGCCCTCTCACCAGGCGCCACCCCCGCCCCCTCACCAGCCCCACCCCCACCCCCATCACCACCAGCTGCTGCAGCTTCACCAAAGTCATCCCGCGTCCCTGCCCCCTCACCACCAGGCCCTTCACCAGCCGCAGCATCACCTGCAGCAGCACCCGGCGGCTCCCTCAGGCCCTGGCCAGCCCACCAGTGTGCTGCAGAGTCACCAAAGTCACCACCAAGGCACCCACCACCACCTCCCCCAGGTAGTGCCTCAACACCTGCCCGGCAGCCACCACGTCCAAGGACATGGTCACCACCCCAGTCACCCCGCTCACCATGGACACAGTAACCATGGCCACCCCACGGACCAGCCCCGACCCTCGGTCATAGAAAGCTCCCAGCCGCACATCATTGAGTGCACTTAAAACTTTACGTACAAATGAAAATTTCTTTAGCTAGTGCTGTAGATGAGCCGCTTTGTTTTGTTTTTTCTTGTTCTTTTTCAAAATGAAGATTGGCGCCTATTTTTTTTATTTAGTGTGTAGTTAAGATGGTTATTTAAAAAAAAAAGAAGTGTGATATTGAGGGTGTGCTAGGGGCGGTCGGTGGCTGTAAAATGTGTAAATTGTGTAAAGTGACTGGACTGCTGCCTGCACACAACAGTTTTAGTCATTGTTCCTCTCCTTTTTTTTGTGCTCTGTGTTGTTGCTTTTTGTTGTTGTTTTGTTGTTTTGATGGTGAGAAAGACACTATAGTGTGCAATAATTTACTATTCAATTGCCGCCAGGATTTCATGCATGAATGTGCTAAATTTATACAATCTCATAGTTTCAATGTGCTAATGAGAGATTGCAATTTACGACAGGGTGCGAAAGCTTCACCCTGTTTGCTCCCAATAACGGTACTATCTAAGGCGCTTTTGCCAGTTCTTGTACATAATATTACTGGTAATTGATAAATTCTCAACTACCTTAAGACTTACTTCTTTTTCTTTTGAGAATGCTCTGAACTTTTTCATTTCGACTCTTGGCCCGTTGATCAAGTTGATGGACTTATTCTGCTGTATGCTGCTCATGTAAATTGCATATTTCTTACTACTTTGCTCATTTATAGTACAGTTCAATTCATCTCTTTAATAGTGCACAGGCTTTTGATGTGTTAAAACCAGATTGTAAATCCATTTCATGGATCTGTAATGAAGTAAAATATTGTGTAAGATTACAGTAAAAGGACATGTGCTTGGTCTATTTTTCATTCAAACTATTTCAATGGTATTTCCTTTTTAGGATGGTTCTTTCTTATTGCTGTCATATTTGTAGAAATTCATTGTATTTTAATATTTTAGCTGGTTCTTCATCCTACTTATGATGCTTGTCATAGACCATTTAGGAGTGTTTTTTTATTAAGAGTATACATCAACATTCTTTAAACTGTAAGTTTTTATGAATAAGTATAAAAGTACAATTTTCCAAAGGCAGAAGTATTTGCAGTTTGTTTCAAAATTGTCCTATATTTTTTTCATCAAGCCCCTTTTTCTGGGATCATTAATTTTATACAACTTTGTTACTGTGAGTCTACTCATTTCCCACTCATATTAAAACACAATGAAATGTCTGATCAATGTTAATTTTAATTTGGCTGACTATAAGATTGTTGTTCTTGAGGCAAAATTTTACTGGTTCTTGTAGAAGTTATGCATGTATTCCATTATATCAAAAAGTTGTACTGTCTACTGTTTAAGATCATTATCCTGGAGCCTTTGTTCTTTATGGTCTTTATTGTAGAATTTTTAAAGGAGGTTATTATGACATTGGTGTGTGAAGCTTTAAATGCTTGTAGTGCTGGTTTGCCTGTCTTTGGGTGAAAGGACCTCATATGTCAATGCCCACTTGCCAGGATTTAAGATTTCCTTTCATTTGAAAGGATTTCAAATCAGCAGGTAAGGTGACAGTATAGACTGGAATAGGTCCATATTTCCTGAGGGCTCATGTTCCTAGATTCATGTCAAGTGGACATGGAAATCACAACTGCACTCTATGATCTCAACCTTATAATTATGTAGTGTGTGAGATGAATTAATCCCAGTTCATTTGATATGAAACAATGTGAGAGTAGAAAATGTAGAATTTTACTGAATAATATAGTTAAGTGTGCTTTCAATTTATGTTCAAAATTTGTTGAACAGTTTAAGAAATTTAATGTTCAACAAAAGTAGATGTGCAACTGACATTTTATGTACAAACAAGCCACAGGCCGCAGATCAATTTGTGCGTTGCTCAAACCCTATTTCTTATTTTTGTACTGAGCCAGTTGGTGATATATGTTATCAACATCTGGACCGTTTCAAATGCTACATTGCAAATGACTAATTATTGCAGAAGGTGCCCAATTATAGTTGCTTTATTGTCACTTACATGCTACTTGGGTTTGAAATTTAACAAACCTGCCTAATGGGAAAATATTTTGACTTCTTTTCAAATCAATTATGCTGAAAACCTTGAAATTGCCAACGTTTAAAAATCCTGTTGAACTGTGGACTGCTAGAAATATTTCCTCTGCATTGTAATGAAATTAGCAAATACAAGAGTGACATCATAGATGTATGTATTTTCTAATAAGGCGCAACCATAATTCAGATATGCTTGAACTCTACGGGACAGAATTGACAGTGCCTTTACCAATATTATAAGCTAGAACTATGTACATGTAACTGGAACTGACTGTGTTAAATTTCGTTTCATCACTTGAAAATGTTTCATGGTTTTATCATTACCTTCTGCATTTTTACTTTAAAGCTGTGTGTATTTATGTAAGTAACTTTTCTCTTTGGAATGTTTATTTAAACATAAAGCTTAACTGATTGTATTTATTTTCAACAGAGATTTGTAATGGTGCAATGAGGTGCAAGAAGGATATTCCATATTCGTGTATTTTGGTCTTCCCATAGTACATTCTTTGCAACTTGCCGCCAATGGTTACAAAGCAATGCTTTGTATCAATCATATGTATTACTGTGTCTGAGATTCTTCAAACTTTGAAGTCTGTGGGTATCCTTGTACGCTTTCTTTTTCTGTCAGTACCGTCGTACCATAAATTAATGAATTGGCCCATGCCAGTATTTTTAAAGATTTTTGCCAACCCAACAGGTCTGATTTTTTTTAAGTTTCTGTACTGTTGAAAAATTGTGTATCTTTGCATTGTACAAACATTTGCTTTGTACAGTGTAAATTAATCTTGGATATTAGTAATGTATGCATAAATCATAATCCTCCAATTGTCTAGAACTCTGTTAGTATCGTTTGTGCTGGCACGTAGGCTTGTGTGGCTTGCCATTCCGATATACTTAGTGAAAGCTTTCAAAGACAAGAAAGATATGTTACGACGGAAGCTTAATCCTTCATCAAGTTTATACTGTTCAGTTTTGTCTTTATTGGCATATATTCTAGCTGATTTGCTGATTCCAAGCTTTTAAATGTGTTTAAAATATTTTTGTTTGGCTCAACATAGGCCACTCTTATGTTTCAATGTCAATGTTTCTGTATATAGCTTTAGAATCGTAATTTTTGAAATGCTGTGTGGTAAATATAAATATATTATATATATTTTTTTTGTTTGTATATGAAATGTATGAAAGATGGCACTACCTTTGCTGTGCTCGTCCACAGACCCATGACTGAAAGCCATAACAAATTCAAATATGAATAAACAGATTAAAAAATTATCCTTGCCATGTTATTTGTGCAAATGCCTGCCCCACCTGAAAAGTGCAAAAAGGATCGACATTCATTTTCCACCCCAATAGTGCCCCTGTGAGAGGCCAGAAGCCGCAGACATCATCCAGCAGTGGCATTGTTTGGGAACGCAGAGACTGGACGATGGGACTTGTGAGGCCACCACCGCTTGAATGGTTCCGGACGCGCTTCCGCTTCCGCTGCGTCACTGCCGTTCTCTCGCGGTGGTAGCGCCGCTCGCCGTTTTGACTAGTCTGTCAGCATGCAATTCTCTCGGTCGTACGTTACACGTTAGACCCTTTCGATGTCGATGTCTCTCTTGTCAGAGACCTTGGCTGCAGAAAACCTTCGGAAATCAAGTGCCTCTCGGTATTTGATCCCGTTGTCTGCTGGCCGCCGCAAGGTGGCGCTGCACTTATTTTTCAAACGGTCGCTCGCGGTGGCGACGCCTGTTGACAACTCAATAACCAATCACTATCGTGCTCCCGGTCCCTTCGCTCATTGGTCGTGCTAATGCCGTGCAGCCACGTTGGTCTAACCTACCCTACCAAAAATTTTTCGCGCCGGCCTGGCCGGCGGCTCGAAAACCGGTGAAATCGGCGAGAAAGGCGCTTTTCTGTGAAATGGAGGCCTCTGATTGGTCGAGATCTGTCACGTGACCAATCACGTGATCAAAAATTCAGATCCCCGACCAAACCGAGGGGGCCACCACTCTCATTTCAGGCGTACACAAGATTACGGGATTACGGGATATTTACCAGGGATTACGCGTGAAATTTTCGAAAATTGGTTCGAAAACGTTGAAATAGCTTGAAACGTTGGAAAATGACTCAAAACGTTGAAAAATGACAGAATTTTGTCAAGGATTACGTGATTACGCCATGGATTACCAGAGATTACCAGAAAACTTGTACACAGGATTACGGGGGTGGTGGCCCCCTCGGACCAAACTCATGGAGACGCTGCCAGGGAAGGCTCGACCAGGCACGATTGAAGATCATACGGAGGAGGAGCCTGAGTTTCAATTTAAACGTCACCGCCCAGCAGAAAAGGGATCGTCATTGACTAGTCAAATCAGTGAACGTGGCAGCCCCCGCGAGCGAACGGCAGCACACAGCGAGCAGCGCTCTCTCGCGGGTGAGGGTTCGAGATATTGCCGGCTTCTACTTCATTATTCCCCGCTACAGGCGCCGAGGTGCTAAGATTATCAGAAAATCTCAGATTAACTGGGCCTTCGCAGGCAACCGGCAATGGATCATGCTGACGGACTAGTCAAAGCGGCGATAGACACTGCCCGCGCGAGAGACTGTTCGGGCGGAGCTTCTCCAACACACTGTGAGATTGATTTGAGCACACTGCCCAGCAGCAGTGTGGATGGCAGTAAACAGGGTAGAGATGTCGGGCGATCTGAACTGTCTCTGCGTGCCACGCCACGCCCGGGATTGTTTGGTGTTTCTTTACTCCTACTGTAGCACAGCGCCCGGAAGGTAGACCACCGCTTCAACACCTCACAGGGAAGACGTGCAAAAACATGGCATCCGGCATCGGCGTGCGGCCAGGCCTGGGAATCAAACCAAGTCTTCTATCTAATGACTGCTGCTCAACCATTCAAGCCACAGGAGCACTTGCTTGAAAGGGGCCCCAACTCAGACTAAATTGCTCTGGGTTGCAGACTCTTCTTCTGTCACGCTGCTTGTGAGTTGCGGTGCGGCGAGGGGGCTGCGTACGATGGGTTGCCTGCCTTTCCGGCGCCTGTTCAGGTTGTGTCAGTTTACCGCCAGAGATAGACTGTTTAGGATATGTATGGGATATATTTGTGCTCTCTGGACCAGTGAATTTTGATGGGCGACCCTTTGGCGATACCCCGAGCGTCGAGCGACTCCAGCTCCAGCTCGTGGGGTATGGACGAGAGTCTCTGGCGCGGTGTGTATTGCCCCAGCCAGAAATGCTTCATCGAATCAACGTCGATTCGACGTCGAAAGGGTTGATCGATCGAATGTCGATTTGCTTGGTCGATTCGACCAGTATATGGTCCTCATATCGACGTATCATCGACCTCGACGTAAATTTCAGGGCGGCGGCAATTTTCAAAATATTGTCGCTCCTGGCAACTGTGGTGGAGTAGAGGCGACGGTGACGTAGCGAGAAACGCGCTCGGACCTCGCACTCCAGCGGGATTCGAACCCACTACCTTCCGCACGGCAGCCCTCGACGCTATCCGTTGCGCTGCGAGACTTGCTCCTTGGAAGAAGACAACTGATCCCTACAGGTGCAGCCGTTGCTGTCGTCTGCTCGCTGACGTTGGTCGGGCTATAAGTTTGGCTAATTCGAAATGCGGCGCACGGTGACAACAAATATGTTCACTTGTGCGTTTTAAAACGCAGAAACTAAACTCTAAATGGACCGTGAAATGGCACGTTTTTTTAACACACTACGATCACGCTACAAATATTTCTATGCTTTGAGCAATGTGAATTGATTTTTGTACAAAGTCGATATTGCGTCGAAATATCGTTGCCTTGATGTAAACAAAGTACCCGATCGAATCGACGTCGATTCGACGTTGATCCTTAGAAACTTACTTTCATGCGACAACTGATCGATTTTTTCGGTTTTTATCTATTTAGTACTAAACTATTATAGCCTCCTTGGCGTTTGGGTAATTCCCCGCGAAAGTCGAAATGACATCGAATCATCGACTAGCAGGCCATCGACGGGCTATCGATGGTTTCGACGTCGAATCGACGTTGACTCGATGAAGCATTTCTGGCTGGGTGCCTGTGGCCACGAAGCTCGTTGGTTTGAACTCATCCGCACTCTGCTCACACTGCTTTTGGGCTAAACGCGAACAAGGTTCCTTACCGTGGCGGCATAGATATTTCCTACCGATACCCGCAAGGTCTCACGCGTGCAATTAGCTACAGTATTTTTCTTCGTTGCTACGTTCAAACCTTACTTTACGCAGGGCTACGGGTAGGGACCTAGCTACTATGGGGCAGGTGCGGATTTATTTACAAGGGGCAGAAAACGTTTTAAGTCACCCCACGCACCCCATCTTGCCTCTAGAAAACGCCTGGAAGATAGGCAAAAGCCAGACGTGGACAGTGCAAGTGGGCAAAAGGCCCCTCTCCCCTCTCTGGATCCGGCACCACCCACACTGGACTGCACTTATACTACTGCACACAGCAGAATGGTCACCCGGTGTCTGCAATTAACTACTGTATCACACCAGACGAGTTATGCTTATACAGTGGAAGCGTTTGCCTGTAACGTTGTTTTTTTGTTGTAGTTTTTTTTTGCACTTATAGCTGCTTTTTTTCATACCGCGGAAGTTCAGAAAAGAGTGGGCGGGTTGGGCGGCCTTCCCTGTTCTGGGAACTGGACTCGGAACTTGTATTCTCCACCACGTGTGTGTACTTAGTAAACCGCGAGTCGAACCTCCTGATATTGATTCATCCCTGGTGGCCACATTCGCTGACGTCACAGCCAGTGCAGGAGCAGCGCGCTCGAGACGCGACAGCCCCGTCAACCAAGACTCCGGTCTCCGGTACAGTCACTGCCGCACAGCACGCAAAAAAATAAAAGTCAGTCCAGAGCTAACTTTCTTAGTTGGCGTTTTTTAGCACCACAGCTAAAAAAATTGCAACTCTGCTAGCGACCTCTGCTGAGTAGCGCTGCTCCTTTAGCTGAGGGTCTGCCGGAGATCGGCTTTCCCGGAACCTATATTTCTGGAGGATTCAGCTACTTCAGTTTGCTGCAGTGCTAATCAATCGCTGCAAAAATGGGATTTACAATGCAGCAAAAATGTTTAGGAGATAGGGCAAGGCTAGGTTCGTTCCGTGGCGCTTCGCTCGCGCTGATGGCTAGCAGTGAGAGATGGGTTAGTCGGGGAACGGATGCTCCCCACGTTCTCACCGTGACATCACCCATGGTCAGCAATTTTTAAAGTCTCTTGAGACACCACTGTCCCGGAGGAGCCTTACGCCTCAGGACGACTGGTCCGTCTTAGATAGAAAATCCCGCACCTTCTAATAAATATCATAATCATGATGAATTCTACAATGCTAATGCAGCTAGAGTTGCCACTAATCTCCGTTTTCTCCATAGCTAAATTTACCCAGCTAATAATTTTTAGCTGTGCAGCTAAAAATTTTGCTGGGCCTACAGAGCTAGATAAATTAGCACTGGTGCTAACTTTTTAGCTCTGAATCGATTTATTTTTTTGCCCGCACAGTGGGTCAGAAGATCGGTGGAGGCGGTCAAAATCTCGGACGCTAAATGGGATTCGAACCGAACGAGTGACCCCAACAATGGATTCCTCGCTCGATGAACAATCTGTTGATGGGGTCACACGTTCGGTTCGAGTCCAGTTTAGCAACTCTGGAGCTCAAAACGCGTAGAATTTTAGCCGCCTCCACCGGTCTTCTCGCCTACTGAGTGCCTGCGTGCCTGCTGTTACCACAGTTGTAGAACGATCCCGCTGCCTCGCTGCGTCTCTCTCGCACCTCGTCTCGCACTCATAGAGTGTGCCGTAAGGGTGCGAGAGAGACGGAGTCATGTCGCCGAGCCGATTATCAAGCTTCACACCGATCGAATCTTCACTGGTTTTACAGTATGCATGCCACATCAAGTAGCGCGCCAAGCACCACTGTCGCCCACCGTGAAACCTTCCCTTCCCAAGCGTGGATCCAAGGTGGTTTTACAGTATGCATGCCACATCAAGTAGCGCGCCAAGCACCACTGTCGCCCACCGTGAAACCTTCCCTTCCCAAGCATGGATCCAAGGTGGAGGAGGAGGGGGGGGGCAATTCCCCCCCCCTTCTTTTTGACCGATCGCCGCATGAAAGGTTGGCAAAAAGCAACACTTTCCC